GCGTCTGGCTTGTAGTCCTATAGTCATAAGAATTGTATGTGATGAAAACAACACATGCAGGATATTACACTATATTACCAAAAGTATTCGCTCACCCATTCAAATGATCAGAATCAGGTGTCCTAATCCCTTGGCCTGGCCACAGGTGTATAAAATCAAGCAAGTCGCCGACTTTCTGCACAGTCAATTGCTACAGAGCTACAAACTTCATGTGACCTTCAGATTAGCCCAAGTACAGTACGCAGAGAGCTTCATGGAATGGGTTTCCATGGCCGAGCAGCTGCAGCCAAGCCACACATCACCAAGTGCAATGCAAAGTGTCGGATGCAATGGTGTAAAGCACGCCGCCACTGGCCTCTAGAGCAGTGGAGACGCGTTCTCTGGAGTGATGAATCACGCTTTTCCATCTGGCAATCTGATGGACGAGTCTGGGTTTGGAGGTTGCCAGGAGAACGGTACATTTCAGACTGCATTGTGCCGACTGTGAAATTTGGTGGAGGAGGAATTATGGTGTGGGGTTGTTTTTCAGGAGCTGGGCTTGGCCCCTTAGTTCCAGTGAAAGGAACTTTGAATGCTTCAGGATACCAAAACATTTTGGACAATTCCATGCTCCCAACCTTGTGGGAACAGTTTGGAGCGGGCCCCTTCCTCTTCCAACATGACTGTGCACCAGTGCACAAAGCAAGGTCCATAAAGACATGGATGACAGAGTCTGGTGTGGATGAACTTGACTGGCCTGCACAGAGTCCTGACCTGAACCCGATAGAACACCTTTGGGATGAATTAGAGCGGAGACTGAGAGCCAGGCCTTCTCGACCAACATCAGTGTGTGACCTCACCAATGCGCTTTTGGAAGAATGGTCAAAAATTCCTATAAACACTCTCCTCAACCTTGTGGACAGTCTTCCCAGAAGAGTTGAAGCTGTAATAGCTGCAAAAGATGGACCGACATCATATTGAACTCTGGGTTAGGAATGGGATGGCACTTCAGTTCATAGTAGGAGTCAAGGCAGGTGAGCCAATACTTTTGGTAATATAGTGTATGTCACTTGTGGGGTAACTTTGTTACGCCAAGAAAGGGAGTGTTACAATTGTTAAAATATGTCAATTTTGTATTAATCGCCATTTTGCATAACCATGTTCAGCCAGCTGTGGACACTGCACATGGTCTTAGCCACTTAATCACAATGAGTTTCGAAAACAATTCCTAATTTGGTAACAGAGATAAGATCACTGATGGGGCAGTCTGAGAAAGGAGATTATGAGACACTGAACAGTGAGGGCATTCATTTGTCGTTTCTGCTTTGTCGACATCACACATGCAACTGGTTGTGAGTATTGACGTCCAGAGAGGGAGACACGATCCGTTCTTGGTGACTTGTCAACAAAACCAGAGATCTCTGTAAATGCACTGTTGAACAATTAAAGTTGTTTGCTCATTTAAACTTTGTAGTGATTTATCATAACATAACAAAATATTGTCTGCATTGACTGTGTCCCTGAAACACGCACACGGGACGAGTTGGGTCCCGCCCAAAGGTTGCGGGACGGCAAGCGCAGACACTAATAAGTCAAATCTAATAAGTTACCGATCACAATGCTACAGGCAGGTCAGAGAGATGGAGAACAAGTCAGAGACACGTTAGCCAGAAACCAACAGACAGGCCAGAGACAGAAAAAGACAGATCAGAAGACAGAGACAGACAGGTTACAGACAGAAACGGATAGGTTACAATAGGAAATAGATAGGTCAGAAAACTAAACAAACCATCATTTAGAACTGAAGAAGCCTCTTGGATGAGAGGCAAAACATCTTCTTTGAGAAGATTTCACATCCAGTTGCCTAATAGAACTCTTCAACCATAAACAAAAAGAGCAGCAAAAGTATTTCATTTAAATGTATTTTATTTTAGCTCGTTAGGTTATTAACCTTGATTCTGAATTTGAAGATTATGGAAGATTAAGCATAACACAACAGGAACAATGACATATTCAAACATATTTGTATTTATCTTACATTTTTAACTAAATTCACATGTACTTCAACATTCACAGAGATGTCAAAATACTTCAAATGTAATTAAGTACAAGTATCTTTACTTTGCTTAAATTCTAAATGTCTAAAGGCAAAAATACCTATCTAAAAAATTACTCAAATAAAAGTATAAAAACTTTACTTTAAATTACTTCATGCAAAAAAGGACGAGTCATACATTAAATCTGTTACTAGTTGTTTCGTCAGGAAAACGTTTTCTGTTAGATAGGACTGTAAAAAAATGCTGTTAGTTCAGACCCCAGTTTCCTAACACACAAAGAATTCAAATAAAGATCAAATAAAGATCTGATCAAATAAAGAATCAAATACGAGATCTCAAATTTTAATAGTTTTACTTGCAAGCAAGGAGTTCAGAACAATGGTTACATTCAGAACTGCACTGAGGAACTCCTCAGTGTTCAGAGCCTAAATACAGTTTTTTGTACACACACTTCAATGGTCAGAACCTTAACCCTTTACAGCCATGTGGTGTTCTCAACTTCTGAGCGCTGATTGGCAAAAGCTGCTTCAAACAAAGATTCTCCACCAATAGAAAACATGTACATGTGCTGAGCTATTCTGCTCAGTCTGTCTCTATCTCCAAGCGTAACAGTCAGTGCCATCAGTAGCATACACCATCCGGTTATGTAAACCATCAGCATACACACCTTTCTTCAGTACTTCTCCTTTTAGTACAGCATTGAAAAACAAACAGTATAAATTGATATGGAAACTTAATACAATAAATATATTGTAAAGATGGAATAAATGTATTTACAATATCTTAATATGTTTTTAATCAACAATTCAAACACCAGTGGCATACGTTGAGAATTTATTATCCATTTCGAACCCTTTTATTGCAAATTCAAGCCATTAAAGTACACTTGAGTTTTGACAGTGACAGTCTGCCAGGCCAGGAACATTTTGCATTGCATGATAAAGTTATTGCCTCATTTGCATTTGAAACAAAGAACTGGCTGAGATATGGCCAAGGATTTCCTTCACTTTCTGAGTCATCGGATCCACCGGAGCTCTCTGCTATAGGCAATCCTCAAAACCTCCTTTTTTGTTCGGCACCAGCCATCATCCAATGACAGGCTACAGCAGGCATGGGCAAACCTTTTGACTTGTGGGCCACAATTGTCCTAAATCTGAACAAAAGGCCGGGTGAGAAGCAGATAGATGGTGTGTTCTTTTGAATTAAGATAAATGACATGTAATGCCCATGCCTGGGTTAGAGCCTGTCTCTTAGTCAAGGTTTTCTGGCCGCATAAATATAGTGGTAAATCCGTGCTTGCATGCCCACACAGATGTAAGACAAGGTGTAAGACTAAAATAAATTACAAATTAATCACAAAAACTACTCAATTACAGTAACGTGAGTAAATGTAATTTGTTACTATCCACCTCTGGATATACAAAAATTGTCGCAGGGATGGTGTATGTCACGTTTTAAAAACAAACATACAACACCTACGCTCACTCTCAAAAATGCTGCCACAGCTGACAGACTCAAGTGTGCAATTAATTGCAGTGCAAAAATATTAGGCATAAAACCGAGCACCGCCTGCCCCTCCCGCACACGACGATTGGTCAATTTTCAAATTGAAATTTCACCGATTAAGTCAACAAAGACTTTCATGAGTTGTTCACATCCCTACTCTTCTTGCTTTATTGAAGAACTCACCAACTTCCTGTCCACCACATAAATCATTCTCTATCGGTATACAGAATTACGTTTCCACCTTATTCTGTATTGTCATATTCAGTATATGACATGATGTTTCTATGTGTATATATATATGATGTTTCATAAAAACACAAGAATAACAACGATAACAAAATGCTCATTCAGAAATGCAGATATAAATACATATATTGGGGTTTTCCCACAATATCCTTAGCCAAATAGTGAGTTATGACCTCCATAATTTCAGCGTATTGTTTAGAGGATTTTTCATATGGAATCGCACTCACAAAACTCTGAGCTGCTGAGATAGTCATGTACTTAACTGCGGAGCCAATTTATTGAGGCGCTATTTCTTTTTGCCACAAGCTTTTCCTCAGCATTTTCACCGCTCTGCTCTTCTGCCTCCACCATTCTCTTATTCCTCGACTACCGTTCCTCCAGAAACTTGCCTCATTGGCAAAATGTCAGCAGGTGAAAAGCATAGCATAAATGTAGTAAACAAAACTTATGGCATACAAGACCAACTTTTTCAATGTATTTATCACACATGTTCACATCACTATAACGATGAAAATGCGATTAATCATACCGGCCTAGTTTCTTCCATGTTCTTCTTTTTTTTTTAACTATTTTATTATCTTTTGCCTTCCTTTTTACATTTTTGTTTTGTCTCTGATCACAGTCCCATGGAGATGAAGATAAAAAGATTTTATGTTTTACTCTTTTTATATGCTTTGCTCTTGTTTTGAAACAGTAGCAATAGGCAGAAGACAGGAGGCGGGGCTGGAGGTGGCAGAGTTAAAGACGCTAAGATTCTCTTTAGGAGTGACAAGAATGGACAGGAATGGACAGGAATGAGGTCATTAGAGGGACAACACAGACAGGAAGGTTTGGAGAAAACGCTAGAGAAGCCAGATTGAGATGGTTTGGACATGTGCAGAGGAGGGACAGTGGATACATTGGTAGAAGAATGTTAGAGATGGAGCTACCACGGGGGTGTCCAAACTACGGCCCGCGGGCCAACTGCGGCGCGGGGGGGCAGTTTTTATTGGCCCGCAAAAAGTTCTGAAAATATAATTGAATATGGCCCGCACATGGCGCTTGAGCTCAAGTCTGTTGCACTTCTCAGTTTCAACACTAGATGGAGCCAGTCAGAAAAGGTGCTTCTTCACTAAACAGAGGACAAAGCCGAAAGAAAAAGAAGAGGTAGTACTGTGAGAGGGTCTATGTGGGTTACATATTGTGAAATCGTAATTTGCTTTGGACTAAGGCTTGTCGAAGTAAAACCATAGACTTTATTGGCAATAGCACCCAAAAAATAAGTTCTTTCTGTTCAATTCACCATTTGTGTAATTATTTACTGTTTTCCCATCATGTAATATTTGGGGGGGGCGGGGGGTCATCAAAGAGCGTCTGTGGTTAGCCCATCTCACTCTAATTTTTTGGAGTTGAAGATCTTGGCCAGGAGTGAGACATTTGATTGGCTCTTCTGCTGCACAAGGGAAATCTTGTCCTGGTTCTTCTGGTTCATAGCTACCATCTTCCTCCTCTTCTTCATCTGGGTCTCCTCTTCTGTCTGTCTCTGTGTGAAGTCCCATGTCTTTTCCTCTACCTAGTGGTGACAAATGTAAATTGTAAGAACCTGATAGTGATTCCTGACTTTGTGCCATTGTGTTTTTCCTCTGTACCTGTTTTCCATCTCTCAGTTTCTTCTTCTTGACCTGATCCAGATGAGCTCTCTTCTCCACGTTGTTCAGATAGAAATTTGTTTCTCTCTTAGCCTGAGAAACTTCCGTCCTTAGCCTCTGTTGTAAAACTGTCTGTTCATATGCCAAACGTTCGCTCAGGTGAGTCCACTGGAACCTATGCAAGTACTTAAAAAAGAACCCATCAGTATTATCACGATGGGCAAGGACCTGAACAATGACATGTTGTGATGTTAAAGGTACCTTCATGCACCATAGGTCTGAGCAAAATCTTTGCCGTTTCCTGGTGGCCATCGGTGTGTTGTGCAGTGATGCAACCACTCTCTTGGCCACACGTTTATCTCTGAACTCTACCCAGCCTTCGGTAAAGTCACACCTCCTTAGACCTGACTTCTTTTTCTTCTTTCTCACCTGATGGTCTAAGACAAAAAAAAGAAAACATTTAACATTTTCACAGATAGCATACTCATAGTAAAAAAGAAAAACAACTTCCACAAACCATAAGTTCGACAATGGTTTTGTAAGTGACTCAGTTGTTATCTAACAAAAAATAATATGAGTAATAGTCATATTTAGCCTCTCACTTAGAGGTCTATTTTAAATCTTTCTTTCTGAATATTAATTTGTACTGATTTATTATATAACAATGAGATGCTGCAATGCATTTTTACACATTTTTGTATAAGATAGTTCAGAAACTAGTGAGACAATTCAGATTTTATATTATTACTGGCAGAAATTATCTTATTTCTCTTTGTGCTGATTTAAAGGTATATATGCTTGTTTACTTCAGTGTTCCTAATTGTTTATGTTAGTGTTGTCTTGTGTACCCTCGGGCTGCAGGAAGATGCGTCCGATTTCTCCATAGGCTGACAACACATTCCTCAGGTGTTTAGGACGGAACCTTGGAGGAATGTGACCTAGGTAAATTATTCCAGGGACAACATGACATCCTGAAGTGGACATTAGTTTAGATTTGGTTTTCTTCAGAGACGTTGCTGGCAATTTTCCTTCATCCTCATTATTATAGCCATCCACAATTGCATTCTCATTTTCTGTTTTAGGAGAATGTTTACTCTCTTTTACATCCTCATTATATTCTTTCTTTTGTTCTCGCATTTCATCATCCTCCATTCTTTGTGCTTCTTTTTCACTGTTTTTGTCGTCTATCTCATTTTCTTCATCTCTTTCCTCGCGGTGTGTAGGACTCCTCTGTTCCTCTGTGTTGTTTTCCCTCATGACCCTACATGAACACTGGAGAAACAATAAATTTAGCGTTACAACGTGTGCACATTTTAAACCCGGGTTTTTACATTTTTTGGAAAAGCAAAGTAATATAATCAACCACATAACAACCACTCTAACTTTTGAAGCAGGGGGAACACGTTTTTAAACAACTAAAGACTTAGTAATCGCAACGAATCTTTAAATCGACATTTAAACTAAAAAATACTACTGTGGGTTTTTTACCGGTTGCGTTTAATATCTCATTTGTTGCGGAGAGATATAAGAAATATTGTTATTTACCGTTTTGCGTTTAATATCTCATTTGTTGCGGATAGATATAAGAAATATTGTTATTTACCTTCGTCTTGAGATTCATCCACAAACAGCCACAACATGCGGAACTGAGCAGGACTGAGTCGCATTTAATGACGTCACTACACGTTAGTCCCTCCTTTAAATGACGTACATTTCTAAACCCTCCGTGCTCTGCAGTTAAAGCTTTTCGTCGTGTACTTTTCAGTTGTATATACATTTTTTACTTTTGGTCTTACTGTCAGAAATTTTTTGTTCAATAAAAAAAGAATTGTGTTCTTTTTGGCTTTTATAAGCCATCTGTTAATGAGAAGAACACAAGCAGAAAATAAGCATTTATCTGATTCTTGTCCTCACACTCACTGTGGTTTGGGTCGCATATAGTAAATTGACCTGACGATGTATTGTTTTTCAAAAGAAGATGTACATAATTTCTTTTAAAGGAGAAACTTTTACTTTTTGGGGGGAACGCTGCAAGACGGTTGACCTAAAAAAAAACAGAAATCTTGAATTTTGCATGAAGCCAGGAGAGAAATAGCTTTTAGTAAACTACTTTCCATGAATGCTCAATGGCTACAAAAATTTCACCTTGATATCAATCCAATATTAGCAAAACACTAACACAAAATACACATCTTAAAAAGTGTATCCTAATCTTCAATATGGGTGTTTTTTATATTTACTTTTAGCAACAATATAAAAGTTAACTATAAAACACTGAAACATTAAATAAAAATTACTTGTGTGTGCTCCTGGCAATGATTTCATTTTAGCATGTGATGAATGTATTTCAAAAACGTTTTTATTTTATTTTAAAAATGGCATCCATAAACGATTAATTGCTAATATAATGTAATGTAACAGCAAATCATTTCACGTCATGCATGCAACTTCATGCAAGTCTCCCCTCTGACTCCTTGGCGCCCCCCAGAGGAGGTGCGCCTCACCTATTGAAAACGGCATTGCATTCTGGGATGGGTGTCATGGCGGCCTCCTGTAAAGATGCAGCGCTCACTCCTTTCCTTGCCGCTGAATTTTAGCCTAAGAAACAAACTGTTTAATGCGGGCTTTCGTGTCATCGCTGATCTGCAAAGACTGACCGATTCGGAATTAATTCATGGTACTGCCCTGTTAAAGTTGAGAATATAAAGTAGTCTTGACGTTAAGTGAAAGTCAAAAGTTGTTTAATTCCTATCATATTAAGAATATTTGTCAGTAAATAGCACATAATGATATTTCAATTAAAATCAGGAGTAAATTATTTGTCGATGCAGAGGCGGGTGTGAGCCAGCAGGATGTGCTGGAGCTCTTGCAGGCTGTAAGGGGAGAAGGAGGTGACGCTTGGTCGTCTTCTACATCTCTGGAGTTGCTGCAGAAGGAGGGTGAATCCAGAAGTATCGTCAGCTTCTGCTCTCAGCTGGACGAAGCTCTTAGTGGAGGAGTTCCCGTGGGAAAGATAACAGAAGTTTGTGGAACGCCAGGAGTAGGAAAAACGCAGCTATGGTAAAAGACACACAAGTATGACCTTTTAGCCACGATGACATCTGATATTATAACTTGTATGTGTGATGTGATGTCTGCTCTATCAGTCTGCAGGTAGCAGTAGACGTCCAGATTCCTCCGTGTTTCGGAGGTTTGGGAGGCCATGTCATCTTTGTGGACACTGAGGGCGGCTTTCTTCTGCAGCGCATAGAAGATATAGCTGCCGCCGTAGTCCGACACTGCTCTCTACTGGTGGAAGACGATGAACAGCGAGAAGGAATTTTGACCTTTACTGTGGAAACCATCCTGTCAAATATCTATGTGGTAACGGACATAACAATCACAGAAATGATGCCTGGTTTGTAATTTGACTCTGATTGGCTCTCTGTTTGTCTCACAGGTCCGTTGCAATGACTACATTGAGGTTCTAGCCCAGCTCCATCTTTTGCCAGACTTCCTGTTAGAACACCCGAGGACCTGCCTCCTGGTGATTGATAGTGTGGCTTGTCCATTCAGACACATTGAGGTTGTGTCTCAGAGGACACAGCTTCTCCAAAGCCTCGGGTTGCAGCTAACGAATCTAGCCATCAGATATAACCTTGCTGTTCTTGTCACCAATCACATGACCACCAGGCTGCAAGGCAGCCAGTCACAGTTGGTTCCTGCTTTAGGTGAACTTTGGGGCCATGCCCCCACAATCAGACTTCTCCTACAATGGTTGAATTCACAAAGAGTGGCAATTGTGGTCAAATCACCAGATCACATGGAAGCTATAGTACAATACCAGATCACAAGTGATGGCCTCAGAGATGTAGATGAATCCGTTTAAAACTAGACGTTTTCTGATTGTCCCAAAGCTCAAATAGTGTGATATTAATGTTTACTGATGTTATTATGTATTGAAATATATATTCTTATTTCTCAGTAAAATTGTTTTACGGAAGTTTGTTGGATTTTTGTTTTTAAGTATTTGTATTGAATTTTAACAAGTTTAATGTTTCACTTTCCCTAAAACTCCAACAACAACATGATCTGGGAAACATATGCTTGCAGTCCTTAAATTTGCTTGAATTTCAATTGCTGTTTTTACAAGGAACAAGAGCAAAGCATATCTTCTTTTTCTTTTGGCTTTGTCCCTTTTTTTCAGGGGTTGCCACAGCAAATCATTGATTTCCATCTCTCCCTGTTCTCTGTATCTTCTACTCTGACTCCAACTATCTGCATGTCCTCCCTCACCGCATCCATATATCTCCTCTTTGTCTCCTACCTGGTAGCTCAGGGATGTCCAAACCTTTTTGGGTGCGGGCTAAAAACGGATCAATAAGCAAAGGCCCGGGCCGCACCCCCCCCATCCCCCCGGCGAAAGACTTAAGTATTATTATTATCATTACTGTTATTGTTGTTGTTAGAGGCAAAAAAAGGTTTTAAACAATAAATGTTATATAAATGTTATACACAACTTTATTTTTGTCAACATCTTAAACATGTGTGTATGATCTTGAACATATTTTTTAAACATTTTAATTTTAACATTTTAACATTCTTTTAAACACGTTTTTAAGATCTGTGTGTTAATAACATATTTTTAAACAGGAAACATACGCTTCGCACATTGAAAATGACTGGTCTAGAACATTGCTCTCAGTGGGAGCAGTGATGCTGTCCTTTGGATTGAAGGATGGCTGGGATGTCAGGAGAAAGTTTGGTGGTTGAGACACGAAGGACTTCACAGAGATGGCTATCAGTCATTCTGGATCTCAGTCTGCTTTTGTTCTGATTTAACAGAGAAAATGTTTGTTCACATATGTATGTTGAGCCAAACAGACTCATCATTCTTTTTGCGTGGCGTCTCATCAGAGGAAACTTGGCATTATTTAAACTCCGATAGAAGTCAGGAAGGGACAGAAGCTGATGTTGACTCTTCAGAGAATCATCACATTGCATTTCAATCAGTTCTAACTGCAGACTCTCCTCCACTTCTTCTGCATCCACCAGGAAGGGTGTCGAGAACAGCTTGATTTGTTTTTCAATGACAGAAAAATCTTGAAAACGCTGGTTGAATTCTGTCACGAGAGATGTAATCACAGAGACATATTTCTCCTTTTTAGCAGAAAGGTCTGCCTTTGGAAAAGCAGACTTGATTTCAGCCAGCGCAGGGAAGTGTGCAGCATTAAAGCTTCGTAGATGTGTCTCAAATAGGCGGAGCTTTACACAGAAGGCTTTCATGTGCGCATACAGATGTGACACCAGCTGTTCTTTGCCTTGTAGGCTCTTGTTAAGTTTATTCAGATGATGAGGGAGATCAACTAAAAAGGCCAAGTCTGCCAGCCACAGAGGGTCACTCAGTTCATGAAGAGGTCGGCCCTTCTCTTTCAAAAACTTGTCGATTTCTGATCTCAGCGAATAAAACCGCTGCAGCAAAGAGCCGCGGCTGAGCCAGCGCACATCACAGTGGTAGAGTACATCCCCGTATTCAGCATCCACGTCAGACAAGAAAGCTTGAAATTCCCTGTGGTACAGTCCTCTAGCTCGAATTATGTTGACGGTTTTCACAACAGTGTTCATCACATCGCCCAGCTGGACAGTCTTGGCACACAGTGCTTCTTGGTGGATAATACAGTGCATCCTCACAGCCTCACCTCCGCTCTCTTTTACCTTGGCGCACACCATGGATGCCATTCCTTTGCGCTCACCCGTCATGGCCGGAGCTCCATCCGTTGTCACTCCACAGAGTTTGTCCCATTTAAGCCCCATCTTTTCAACTGCCTCTGACACAGCGTCAAAAAGATTTCCACCCGTCGTTGTGCCTTTTAGGCTCATCATATCGAGCAGCTCCTCCGTACAGCAAAAATTGTCATCGACTCCGCGCAAAAAAATTAACAGCCTGTACTTCTCCATCAGCATCCTCAAGGCAAATATTGCATCTGTGGTACTCTTCCTAGGCATGAACCCATACTGTTGTTCACAAATCTCCACTTCCTGCCTCAACCTAGCTTCAACTACTCTTTCTTCAACTACTTTATCCCTCTGTAGTTGTTACAACTCTGTACATCACCCTTCTTATAAATTGGATTGCACCAGATTTTCCTCCACTCATCAGGCATCTTGTCAGTCTCTAAAATTCTGTTTAACAACCTAGACAGGAAATCTACTGCCACTTCTCCTAAACACTTCCATACTTCCGCTGGTACGTCATCGGGACCAACTGACTTTCCACTCTTCATCCTCTTCAGGGCTTTTCTTACTTAATCCTTTCTAATCTGATCTACCTTCCTCCTAATAGTCTCTGGTTCCTCATTCCTACGTTCCCTTTCGTTTTCCCTTTTACGTTACCTCATTCAACAACTCCTCAAAGTATTCCTCCCATCTTTTCAGGACACTTTCCTCACTTGTGATTACGTTCCCCTCTCTGTCCTTAATCAACCTCACCTGCTGCACATCCTTCCCAGCTTGCTTTCTCTGTCTCGCCAATCTATACAACTCCTTTTCTCCTTCCTTTGTGTCCAAACTCTCATACAACTCCTCATATGCCTATATTGTTTGGCCTTGGCCACTTCCCTCTTTACCTCCCTTGTCTTCTCTTTGTACGCCAGTCTGTTCTCTTCTGTTCTGTCACTATCCACTATCTCTTCTTTGCTAATCTCTTTCTCTGCACACTCTCTTGGACCTCATCATTCCACCACCAGGTCTCTTTGTCCTCCTTTCTCTGCCCAGAGGACATACCTATAATAATAATAATATTAATATTAATGATATAATGCCTCTCACAGTACTGCCAAAGATCAATTTAAATTATGGGTGACCAACCTTTTGAAAGTAAGGGTAGTAAGTAATACAAAGAGCTACGTGTTTGATACAGACTCTTGAACTGTAATAATAATTAAAAAGAAAGCTAACGCTGCTCTGTCAAGTTTTGGGACAAAATAGCAGACACTGTTCTTACTGTCGTTATTGTACCCTTTTGAATATCATTGAAATCTGGTTAAAAAAAAGACCAGTAACAGTGCATTGTTTGACACTTATAGGGTCAAAACAGCATATTGCACAAACAAATGTTTTGCATGTAAACGAATTACCTAATCATATTTACACACAATGTTGTTGACTGTTACACCAGTGACTCCTTGTGGTAGAGGTGCGCAGCTGAGCACAGATATCCACTCCGTCACGGAGAGATTCGACTGGGGCAATCAATCAATCGTGCTTAAGCCAGCAGAATCGGAGAGATTCGACTGGGGCAATCAATCGTGCAGCAGAAGGACGACACTGATAAATTCGGTTTCTGATTTTTCTCGTGCCCCAGAAGCGCTGAAGAGGTTTGGAGCAGGAGCCCCAAAAATAAATATGATGGTATGTCGTATATGTTATATACGACATGTTATGGTTAAACACTTATAGTCAAATTACTGATTGGTGTTTCAATTTTATGAAAGGAGTGACAGCGAAACAGTTGACTCTCACCTGCCTTGCATTAGCTTCCCCACAACTACTGACTTTAATGGGAAAGGTTGTGCCAGCAACCAGGATTTTCAGTGTAACTATGTTAAATCACCATCTCTAGTAATGCGAGTGTCAAGCTACATACCTTTTATTAAATACTAATATGTAACATCTCAGGTTTTAGTTAAATATATGCAATTTATATGTATAAGCATATTTGGTTCCGTGACGTCACATTGTTGCACTTGAGGGGCGGGGCCGGGAGCATCAGCTGCAATATGGCGGCTGATTACTGGGAGCTGCAGAAAACCGAGATTGTATCAGATTGAACCGAACCACAGAGAACCCGTTCAGACAGGGACCAGGACTTCTGGTGAGTTACAGCACGAAGCGCGTCGAGGTGTAAGCTTGCTGAATACAAATTACCTAAGCAGCTGTTTGCAGAAAACAGCAGCAGCGTCAGAGTTAAACAGGTTCTTCTACGCGGCTATTTATATCAGACTAGAGGCATTTACACCAGCACATAGACATAGCTCATCACCATACAGTAATGCTGAGATGTGTTGAGAACGGTGTCAAAGGACATAAACAGTACCAAATGCATACTGCAAAACGTACACAATACCACCGATAATAAATATACAGTGTCATTATTAGGTACTTCAGTGGTTGCTATACAAAACGTCATAAGCACAACAAGTCAAATATTGAACACACAAAGTGATACGATACTGTCAGGAGTGATACAATAATAGAATATACAGTTCCGCAAAGCTTAGACTTCAGAAAGAACTGCTAAAAGAACTCAGTACACGTACTGTACTAGAGGTTGACTAAAGACCAATTAAATCACCATAATGAACTCACAATGGTGTTTAAAGTAGCATAAATAGAACATTAATGACAACACAAATAAATAAACATTATGGACAGCATCACAGACATCATCAAAAGCTACAAATAAATACAGAATGTTGACAAATGAAGTAATATCAACCAGAAAAAGCATAAAGCGTATAATGCAGAAAAAGACCCATCAAGAAAATAAACTGTTTAACAAATATAACATTTATTTAAAATACAATGAGTGAGAAGATGGACGTCTTGATGCAAATTCCCTGTAAAGGTTAAGAATCTTTATTTGTAAATATCAACACAGTGAGTATCTGAGCAGTAAAATGTTTGCTATTGTTAATACAATATTACAGTAATAATAACCTTTAGTAGGCTTTAATTTAAAATGATATGATGTTAGAATGATAATGTTAGGTACAGAATCTTTTTTGCAATGATTTTGTAATAGATCACACCAAGGCTAATGTTTGCCACCTGGACTTTGATGGTGCAGGCGTGGCCGTGAGGCTGGCGGCCTCTCTCACTTCAACATCACGACCCCCTCTGCCTCCCCGGCCCCCTTTCATGGAGAGGATGAGGAAGATCAAGCGGCAGCTTTCACTCACTCTAACAAGGGATCGGGCCGGAGGCGGAGGTAGAACGCAGAGTGACACCAACAACCAGGAAGTGGCATCACACAGTGATTCAGGTAACTACGCAAATATGAAATTAAAGATTTAAATGTTCGGGTTTTTCTATAAACCTATAGGACACAGATGTCTTGGCTCAAATTTACCTTGCACACTATTGTACAGCACTGTTCAATCTTTATTACATAAGCAGTGCAAAAAAAAATTGGATTTGGAATTTGCTTTGACTTAATCCCCTCTATTTCCCCATTCACAGAGGTGTCTCTGCACTCGTCTGGAGGTTTGAACGGTCGACCGTCATCATCGCTACAGACTCTTCTTCAGTCGTATCGGAAACCACGACTGGGACGTAGTTTGAGCTCATATTTGAACCACGCTAATAGACTAGGTAGTACATGGTTGGGTGGTTTATTCCTTTTGATTGTTTTGTTGGTAAATTGTTTAAATCATGTTTTTGTTCAGAAATCGTCCATGAGGATGTAAAGATGAGCTCGGATGGTGAAAGTGATGCAGCATCTTCATCAGATGATGTCCAGAGTCCAGTCAGAGTCCGACTGAGGAACAAGAAGGTCTCAACTGAGGTACACACGTACTGACTGTGCACAAACACACACAAATAAACACAGAGTAACATAGAAAATGGTCACAAACTACTTCTTTCTTCAGCAGTTTTCTGATTCGTGGTCTGAGTGTAGTCAAACCTTATCTTAAAAGTACCTGAATTAAAGCAATGTTTTTCTGCAAACTTCTAGGACATCAACAAACGTCTGTCTTTACCGGCAGACATCCGTCTTCCTGATGACTATCTGGAGAAGTTTAACCTGATTGGTCCATCTCTGTTTGAACAGCCAATCAGCAGGCAACTGCGGAGAGTCTCTCTGGTATTCCCTTTGGTTTTTTTTATATTGCAGTTTAATTAAGTTTTGGACTTTATTCCTAAACCCTCTCCTTTCTGTTTGTTGACAGTCAGAGATTGGTTTTGGGAAACTGGAAACTTACGTTAAACTGGACAAACTGGGAGAGGTAAGGATGGGTCTTTTCAACTCACGTTTGCCATTTTTTCTTTTTCTCTCTCTCGCTCTCTCTCCCTCTCTATCGCACATGTGTGAGTAGTTGTGGAGGTGTGTTTTCTGTCTTTTTTCCCTCTCAAGAATGCTGCCATGATTTTTCTAGAGTCAACAGACAGCTAGTCTGGTCTAGTCTTAGTAGAAAGTCAGTATCGTAGCCGAACAAGGAATAGTTTTGAGAAACATGTTTGTCCCAGTTTTCCCTCTAGTTAATCCAGAGAAAGGAATAATCCTGTCTAATTTTAGAGAGAAAGCTTTCACTGCGTGGCCAGATTGTGTCGGCAATGAGAATGCTTCTGTCGGGTTGAAAATACACGATCTTTGTGACAACAAAAACAATGAAATGTTTTGGCTGTGGGCAAGAGGGGCATTTAGTGTGCAACTATCTGGATAGGCTGCTGCAGTCAGAAGCTGCACCAAGTGTGCAGGGCGCAGACAGCAGGGACTAGCCAGAAAGTGGGAGACAAGTGGAAAGTGGGAATCGGGTGGGGCAGACGGAAACAGCATGTTACGTGCTGTTATGGCAGGAAGCAGGCCGGACCCAAATGCACCATAAGGGAGACTCTCTTCAGGTGCAGCAAGTTTATTCACAAAGTGCGAATTAACAAAAACATATTTGGCCACTAGGCATCCAAAACATGATCGCCCGATCAAAAAAAGGAACAAAAATGATTTTGTACCTTGGTCAAGGAAACCTGTGTCTCTGGTTAGGAGTCCCTCTCGTAGACCATGGCACACCTAGAGTCCCACAGTCTAAACCGCAGATGAGATGTCGCAGTACCAAAAACCAAAAAAGGTTAGCTGCAGAACCAGGTACTGCTGAGAGAGTGACCACCACCACCACCTTCCAAAGTGGCCATGGCCGCTTCCTGATCAACTGGCGGAGTGCCCACTGATGCCTGCTAAACCACTAGAGGAGTAACCACTTGTGCCTTCTGATCCACTGGAGGAGTGACAACGGCGCCTCCCGAACCACTGGAGTTGTGGCCACTGCCGTCTCCCGAAACCCTGGCAGGGTGGCCTCCGCCACCTTCTGATCCACTGGAGGAGTGGCCGCCGCCACTTCCTGATCCACTGGTGGAGTGCCTACCGCCTGACCAGGAGAACCTGTGTGTGAATTAACAAAAACTCACTTGGTCATAAGCCATGAATTCCAAAAGAGGAGAGAGGTATATATACACTATATTACCAAAAGTATTGGCTCACCTGCCTTGACTCATACTATGAACTGAAGTGCCATCCCATTCCTAACCCAGAGTTCAATATGATGTCGGTCCACCTTTTGCAGCTATTACAGCTTCAACTCTTCTAAGAAGACTGTCCACAAGGTTGAGGAGAGTGTTTATAGTGTTTAATTTTTTAATAGTGTTTGATTGATGCAATGGTGTAAAGCACGCCGCCACTGGCCTCTAGAGCAGTGGAGACGCGTTCTCTGGAGTGATGAATCACGCTTTTCCATCTGGCAATCTGATGGACGAGTCTGGGTTTGGAGGTTGCCAGGAGAACGGTACATTTCAGACTGCATTGTGCCGACTGTGAAATTTGGTGGAGGAGGAATTATGGTGTGGGGTTGTTTTTCAGGAGCTGGGCTTGGCCCCTTAGTTCCAGTGAAAGGAACTTTGAATGCTTCAGGATACCAAAACATTTTGGACAATTCCATGCTCCCAACCTTGTGGGAACAGTTTGGAGCGGGCCCCTTCCTCTTCCAACATGACTGTGCACCAGTGCACAAAGCAAGGTCCATAAAGACATGGATGACAGAGTCTGGTGTGGATGAACTTGACTGGCCTGCACAGAGTCCTGACCTGAACCCGATAGAACACCTTTGGGATGAATTAGAGCGGAGACTGAGAGCCAGGCCTTCTCGACCAACATCAGTGTGTGACCTCACCAATGCGCTTTTGGAAGAATGGTCAAAAATTCCTATAAACACTCTCCTCAACCTTGTGGACAGTCTTCCCAGAAGAGTTGAAGCTGTAATAGCTGCAAAAGGTGGACCGACATCATATTGAACTCTGGGTTAGGAATGGGATGGCACTTCAGTTCATAGTATGAGTCAAGGCAGGTGAGCGAATACTTTTGGTAATATAGTGTATATCCAGGGCACCAGGTGACATGAGTGAGAGTATTCGGAGAGATACAGGTGAGACAGCAGGAACATGAAACAGAAAGACCTAACACAGCAACCCAAAAGCCTAGCACAAATGAGTGGCAGGGCAGAGAGTGTGCAACAAAGTCTGCTGCAGGAGCCACTGAGCTGAGCCAAATAAGTGTTGGAGAGAAAGAAGGAATGAATATTGACAAGCTTGTAGATGGTGGGGAAAAAGTGTTTTGGAAGATGAAAGCTTTCTTAGAGTACCTTGCTCTAAGAGGAAATCAAGGGAAGTCAAGAGCAGCCAAATTAAAGAGAATTATACTAAAGGAAAAGACGGGAAAAAAAAGTAGGAAGAAAAAGTGATACTGATGAGTTTTCTGATACTAATAGTGAGTAAGCATGATTTCTCTGATTTTACTCTCCCTGATGGCCAGAGGAATAACAGCTATAGACTTGAGCAAATCCAGAGTTTCTTAGAAGTGACGAAAGGAAAAAGGGATGTAGTTGTGGATGATGTCTTCCCAAACCAGTCTTTGTTTGTTGAGTAAGCTTAGTGGCTAATGAGACAGCGAGGTGCTGATGGTCTGAGGAACACAGAGGTTTATCTCCTCAGGAAATTGGTTCAGAAGGTTAAAGCACAAATCAGCAAATTAGTCAAAAAAGTGCGGTACAACCAAAAATATATCGTACGTATTTTTCTGTTATGATCCCCTTATGTCTGGCCATGAGTAGCTTTAGAATTGCATCTCAAAATCTTAATGGTGCAAGAGATGTCAATAAAAAAAAGATGTACTATTATCTTTTAAAAACCAAATATATTGATATTACTTTTATTCAAGAAACTCATAATACAGTCGGGCTTCAAGTGATGTTTTTAATCCATTCCACAACAGCACTTGTACGTTGATCCACTTGTATCTCAATTCCATTTTCCCCATTAAAAATAACTAAAAACCAATAATTCCTTCCAGCCCCCAGAAATATACTATTAATTAATTAAATTAAAATTCCCACCCATCTAAACATCAGAAACATAGATATAAACAAATATATTGAAAATATAAAATAAAAATAATTGATAAAACATTTTGTATTATTGTTATAAAAATGGGTAAAATAACCCAGCAAGGGATAGTGAGCAAGACAACGCAACAGTGTTGAGTGGAAAAATTGAGCCCATTGGGCACTCGTAGCTCGATGTTTCCTTGTAGGCAGGCACTCGTAGCTCGATGTTTCCTTGTATCTCGAAGAAATACTTACAAAAGTTGCCTACTCCTAACTTTAAAAACTCGGATTTTGGGTATCTCGTATCTTGAAGCCCCACTGTAATAATGAAAATTAATTGGACAGTGTTTTCTGCCAAAATCTTATGAAGATTTGGACAGGACTAATTTAGAACCTTATGCTCAGTCAAGGAAGGGTTTGAAATGTAATATTGAGACCTGTGTGGCAATCCAAGCACAGGGACACTATTAAAGACTATTGTATCGCTTTGGCGAGGCTGGACAGGTTTTATTGTTTTAAACATCAACTGCACATTTTTAGATCTTGTTTTTTGTGTCCAGTTAGCTTTTAAGATCACTTTTTGTTAATAGGAAAATAAATTGGGTAAAACGATAAGATTGCATACTGGCAGTTAAATACTGTTATGTTAAATGATGGTCATTTTAGAAGATGTTTTTGTTTCTTTTGGAAACAATAGAAGTCTGTAAAGTCCCTGTTCTCATCTTTACAACAATGATAAGATGTTGGAAAAATACAAAGACAACAGTTTTGTGAACAATACAGTTTCAGTGTCACAAGAGAGACCATCCAGTTGATTTGACATCTAGAGACAAGTATAGTAGAACTGCAGAGTTTAAGTGCTGCAGAACACAGGGGTCTTTGGTCCAATCACACTTTCAAAATATTTCTGAAATGGATGCTCCATCCAAGTTTTTTTTTAACCTTTAACCTTCTCCCTAAAAAAGGAGACCTGTGTGAGGCTGTGTGAGAGTTGTGTGCTGACTACAAAATCCTCTCAAAAGTGTTGGTAAACAGGTCAAGAAAGGTATTGGAGCAGGTTGTTCATATTGATTAATTCAGGTCAAGAAAGGTATTGGAGCAGGTTCATATTGATTAATCACATTGTGTCTCTGGCAAATCTATTAGAGATAATATTTCTTTAATTCAGGATTATTTGGATGTCTACGTTTTTGGATTCAAAGTTTGATCTGCGTTCTCTTGTCCAAGAGATGGCTTCTGATCGAGTAGAGCACAAATATCTTTGGAAAACTTCTGAGGCATTTGGTTTCTTCCCCAGTTTTATTGCCATGACTAGGACTCTTTATTGTGACATGTGACATGTTGACCAAGTTAATGGTGGAATAGGCGCTCCTTTTACTATAGGGCAGGGTATTTGACGAGGTTGTGCAATGTCAGGTATGCTTTACCCCATAGTCATTGAACCCATGCCATGTCAGGTAAGAAAACAGTTAATGGGGGGTAAAGCTTAGGGGTATTTTTTTAAATGGTGATTTTGATGTTGAAGAACTATTAAAGATCACAGTGTTTTAGTAGAGTCTCCTCTTCAAAGGTAAATTGGAAAAAGAGTACAGCATTGGTGGTGGGCCAATGGCATTGGGAGTAGGTTAAGTATTTAGGTGTACACCTGAGTGACCAGTCAGAGGTAATGAAGAACTGGAAAGGAGTGGTAGAAAAGGTGGAGGGGCAGTTAAAGAAGGGAAAGTGGCTGTTACCCCGAATAGCTTATAAGTGGCTGTACATTTATTATTAACAATTTGCTGGCCTCTACTTTGTGGCAAGGCCTGGCTGTAACCGAACCCCAAGCAACTCTTTTGGGATAGATTACACTGGATACCTCAGAGTGTTTTATTTTTGCCCAAGAATGAAGGGGGGCAGGGTCTGGTACATTTGGCCAGTAGGGAAGCGGCTTTTAGACTAGTTTTTGCAGAGTTTTCTCTATGGACCGTCAGACTTACCATGAAGACAGGTTGCTGATTTTATCTTTGTACAAACAGTTTAGGTTTTTTTATGGATTGTTCATATTTGAATTTCTATTATTTGTCACCTTTTTACATCAGTGTAATTAATATGTGGAGACAAATGGAAACAGGCAGACTGGGCCGTGACTCTTCCTTATATTGGCTTTTGATGGAGCCAATTCTTAGGGGTCCTTGGGTTAGGTATTGCCTGGGAAGAGGCACCACTGATGTATGAGAAGTTAAAGGACACAGGCATAACAACACTTCGGCACCTGTTGGAGTTGGCTGAAGCTCACCTGATCAATGCTGTAACCCTGGAGCAAAGACTTGAGGTCTGATCTGTTTGGGTAATCGGCCTGATGTTGGACAAGATCAGGAAGGCGTTGTCGAGTGAAGACAGAGCGCTGCTGGCGGGATGGTTCGCTGGATGACTTGACACCCGATGATTCTGACCCTTTTCCCAGGTTGTGCTTCAGACTTAAACTTACAGACTGTGGAGGCCTCCTGCTGGAACTAGGTCAAGTGTGGATGCCAATGGACTCTGTGAGGGGAAGGACTTTCTATCAAGGCTGTGTCAATGTCTTAAACAAATATAAATGTAAGAGTAGACATCATTTGGAGGGAGTGGTGCTTTGGCCCAGAGGCAATGTCTCTGTCATTGGTGTGGAACCCCAGGGTTCACCTCCTGGGCAAGTTTGAATCCCGGTTAGGGCGGTTGGTACCTTCCAGTGGACTCACCACCCACAGGAAGGTTTGGGGGGGTTGGTACGGTGCAGTGTGATTTGGGTCATAAAGACTGCTGACCCGGTAACAGATAAGCGGATGAAAATGGATGGATGGATGGATGGATCATTTGGGGGGATCATTTTAAAATGCAAACAGAGGTGAAACCTGCATGGAGCATGCTTTATAAACCACCACTGACAAGAAATACTGGAGACTTGCGAATTTTACATGGGATTCTTGCAGTGAATGCTAAAAACCTAGCTGTTAAAACCTACAGTCTTAGACAAATGTTCTTTTTGTCCTGACAGAGAATATATTTCACTGTTTTGTTCTGAGGCTTTTGTCTCTTTCTTGGAGCAATTTGCACTTTATTGGTGTGCTTTAAGGAGCAGTTTACTGAACAAATGTTCATTTTTGGCCTCTTGTAATGGTAAGACAAACAAGGAGAAAGGTCGACTGCTGAATTTCCTTTTCGGACAGGGGAACTTGGTAATCTATCTTAGTGGAAAGGAAAAGTTGAAGAGGATTGCCAAGTGATTTTTCGAAGTTTAGTTAGACTCCAAATTATGTTGTAATACAGGTGTGCTTTTTTCTTTAAATGAACAGGAAATTACCTTTGTAGATGTGTTAATTATTTTATTTCAATAGATGGTACACTCTGAGGTGTGAATGTGTTTTCTTTTATGTGAATAAATAATTAGTTTAAAACTCTCAACACTCTGAGGTGTGAATGTGTTTTCTTCTTTTATGTGAATAAATTATTAGTTTAAAACTCTCACACTCTCTCTCTCTCTCTATGTTTCAGGGAACCTACGCCACAGTGTACAAAGGGCGCAGTAAATTGACCGAGAATCTTGTTGCTCTCAAGGAAATCAGACTGGAGCATGAAGAAGGAGCTCCATGCACAGCCATTAGAGAGGGTATATTTTTCATTCTTAACCATAAAAATAGAAAGGTGAACAAACATCAGGGATATCCCCATGTACTATTATCTGATTCCTGAAAATACTCTGTAACTACACATCTGTAAACACCGCTTAGTCTATTCTGCATATATTGTATTTGAATATATTTGACTCATTGAGATTTGTTAAGAATCTGTATGAGGTATAGACAAATACACAATGAGAAAAATTTGAATTTTCGATCAGTCCACAGATTGACATTCATTTATACGAACAAACAATGTGTGGAAGATTCTCAGTCATTCAGATCATGGTCAACGTTGAAGAGTTCTGTTAGGCAACAGGGCATGACATTTTCTCAAGAAGATTTTGCTTCTCATCCAAGAGGCTTCTTCAGTAAATATATACTGTCGGTATGACAAAAGATAAAGGTGCTTCAGGTCCCTCCTGTTGGGTGGGCCGTTGGGGTCATCTGGGAAAGTGTTAACCGTGGTTAAGAGTCTGATGGGTCGTCGTGATCTCCATCAGAGTGGTTTCGGTCACATGCCTCTTTGATCTGTGAAACTGGCAGATGAGAGGTGAATCATTTGGGTATTGTTACTAAGAGTGTCTTATATGTGGACGATAAGCTGTGTCCTAGACCACCTCTTCTGTTGAGTGGTGGTTTTCCAGGTTGACAAAAATAGCTTATTTTACTCCTCTCTCAAACCATCTGTCTTCCCTGGCCAAAATATGAACATTGTTGTCCTCGAAGGAAAGTGTTTTGGCCTTGAGGTGTATATGAACAGCTGAGTCCTGTCAGGAACATTTCGGAGGTGGGACCAAGTCATTGCTTTGCAAGTCACAAGCAAGTCTCAAGTCTTTGCACTCAAGTCCGAATCAAGTCTCAAGTCCAAATAGGCAAAGTCCGAGTCGAATCCAAGTCAAGTCCCAAGTCCTGCCGTTTCTGTTTTCAAGTCCTTTCGAGTCCTTCCACTCACTGCCACTCCTTTTTTGTTGACCATGTCGTAGTTTTTAAATCCGAACAACACGATCTTTGCTATCATTTTCTCTAGCCCGCGCATTGTTCGACAGCTCTTTCTCATTGGTTCTCCCGCAATTTGATTGGCCAACGTTTTATTTGATTGGATGTTGTGCCGACAGCACATACGTGCACAATGAGAGATACACAGAAAGTATCGAGTCTTGTCGAGTCAAAGGGCTCGAGTCCAAGTGAAGTCACGAGTCATCGATGTTAAAGTCCAAGTCGAGTTCCAAGTCTCTTTACATTTTGTCAAGTCGAGTCTAAAGTCATCAAATTGATGACTCGAGTCTGACTCGAGTCCAAGTCATGAGACTCGAGTCCACACCTCTGGAACATTTCATGAAAAAAAGGAAAGACTTCAAGACACAAGTCCGCCTCCTTAACCACTAAGCCACCACTTCCCCGGTATGCCCCTTACTGGATGTCCAGTTGCCTTACAGAACTCTTTAACCTAGACTGTGTGGTGTTTGTTTGGACATATTATCTAGTCAATTTGTATGTTTAATGAATGTTGTAATTGTAGATCTTTTTCTTGTTGGATGTTTGTGTAACAATCCTGTTTGTTGCACTAATTGTTTGTCCTTTTTGTTTTTGTTGTTCACTTTCACCTTGGAGAGCATCATTTATATTTACAGTAAAAAAAAAAACTCAGTTGAACAACAACCACTGTTGATTGTATGTCAACAAAACGTTGACATCTCTTTTCTTCTTCTTCTCAGTGTCTCTGCTAAAGGATCTGAAACATGCCAATATCGTCACACTTCATGACATCATCCACACACAGAAGTCTCTCACACTGGTTTTTGAGTACCTTTTTCCACACACCCACACACACACACACACACACATACTCAAAAATACTCAAAACTATAAACTCACAGGTGGTAATGATGCTTGATTGTGTTACAGGACAAAGATCTGAAACAGTACCTGGATGACTGTGGAAACACCATCCATGTTCACAATGTCAAAGTAAGAAGACATTTCTTTGGCATTGGTGTTAATAATGAGGATCTAAAAGTTGTTTTTTTTTTCATGAAAAATTGTGATTGATGAATGTTTTCTTAGCTCTTCCTGTTCCAGCTACTACGAGGTCTGTCCTACTGTCATCGCAGGAAAGTTCTTCACCGGGACCTGAAACCTCAGAACCTTCTGATTAACGAGAGAGGAGAACTTAAACTCGCTGACTTTGGTGAGTTTACTGTAGGAATACCTTGTTTTTGAATGAAATTCAAAAAGATTAGGTTATTGCGTTTTCTTTTAAATTAAACAAACCAGCACTACAAGCAAAGTTTTTCCAATTCAAATTATTATTGGTTAATGACCTAAATAAAAAGGAAAAGGAAAGGAAACGAAATGTGACCTCTGCTTTTAACCCATCACCAAAGTGAACAGTGGGCATCTTTGTGAGCACCCGGGGAGCAGTATGTCCCCACACATCCCCATGGATGTGTAGGGACGGTGCCATGCTCAGAGCACCTCAATGGCAACTTGGCAGCTGGTGGATTAGAACCTGCAACCTTCCGGACCCAATTCTGCTTCATTAACTACTAAGCCACCGCTACCGCTGCTGTTTATGTCATTCAAGGTTCATATTTATTTATACTTTTGCATTATTCATCCACCAGTAAATTCACAGATTAATTCAATCTCACTGTACAATAACAGCTTTTCTGTTCAATATTTTAAAACCTTGATTGCAGCCAAATATTTTGCTTTTTCTGATTTGAGGCTTTAAGTTCTTTTGTGATTGGAAGACATTTTGTCACAATTTCCAAACAACTAGA